ATCAATGTTTAATTTAAAAATTAGTTTAAAACAATAAATATAGAAGGTATATATATATTTTTTAAAGGGAAAAAGACAGAAAAATGTAACTTTAACTCCATAATCCCCAAAACGTCCGCCCAATTCTATAAATCCCATTTTGGTAGTATGAGACCAAATTGGGATTATTATGTGAAATGAAAAGACCACATTGCCCTTCATTTTAAATATTATTTTTATAACATCACAGCTCCTACTGGCCGGCCGGTCACCGGACCTCCGGCGGCGGTGGTCACCGGACCTCCGGCGACCAGCCGACAATTGGTCACCGGAGCTCCGTCGGTCAGAATTTTTTTTTTGAAAATTTTTACAACTCCAATATAACGGTTAACAACTTTTGTAATGCTATTAACAACTTCAATATAGCAATTAACAACAGCTTTTCTGGGAAATTCAACAAACTCCGGCAACTGGAAACAATTATTTTGAAAATTTTTACAACTTCAATATAACCGTTAACAACTTTTGTAATGCCATTCACAACTTCAATATAGCAATTAACAACAGGTTTTCTGGGAAATTCAATAAATTCCGGTGACCAGAAACAATTTTTTTGAAAATTTTTACAACTTCAATATAACGGTTAACAACTTTTGTACTGCTATTAACAACTTCAATATAGCAATTAACAACAACAAACTCAGGCGACCGGAAACAATTTTTTTGAAAATTTTTACAACTTCGATATAAAGGTTAACAACTTTTGTAAACCTATTAACAACTTCAGTATAGTGGTTAACAACAGGTTTTTGAGTTTGTTAAAGGCATTACTGAAATTATAAAAATGTCACTTTTTGAATTTAAAAACTTGTTGTTAACTGCTATATCAAAGTTGTTAGCCGTTATATTGGAGTTGTAAAAATTTTCAAAAAAACGTAATTGTTAACGTTACACTGAAGTTGAAAATTTTTACAACTCCAATATAACGGTTAACAACTTTTATAATGCTATTAACAACTTCAATATAGCAATTAACAACAAGTTTTCTGGAAAATTCAACAAACTCCGGCGACCGGAAATAATTTTTTTGAAAATTTTTACAACTTCAATATAGCGGTTAACAACTTTTGTAAGCCTATTAACAACTTCAGTATAGCGGTTAACAACAGGTTTTTGAGTTTGTTAAAGGTATTACTGAAGTTATAAAAATGTCACCTTTTGAATTTAAAAACTTGTTGTTAATTGCTATATCAAAGTTATTAACCGTTATATTGGAGTTGTAAAAATTTTCAAAAAAACGTAATTGTTAACGTTACACTGAAGTTGAAAATTTTTACAATTCCAATATAACGGTTAACAACTTTTATAATGCTATTAACAACTTCAATATAGCAATTAACAACAAGTTTTCTGGAAAATTCAACAAACTCCGGCGACCGGAAATAATTTTTTTGAAAATTTTTACAACTTCAATATAGCGGTTAACAACTTTTGTAAGCCTATTAACAACTTCAGTATAGTGGTTAACAACAGATTTTTTTGAAAAATTATATAACTCAAAAACCTGTTGTTAACCGCTATACTGAAGTTGTTAATAGGGTTACAAAAGTTGTTAACCGTTATACTGAAGTTGTAAAAATTTTCAAAAAAATTGTTTTCGGTCGTCGGAGTTTGTTGAATTTCCCAGAAAAGCTGTTGTTAATTGCTATACTGAAGTTGTTAATAGCAATACAAAAGTTGTTAACCGTTATATTGAAGTTGTAAAAATTTTCAAAATAATTGTTTCCGATCGCCGAAGTTTGTTGAATGTCCCAGAAAAGTTGTTGTTAATTGCTATATTGAAGTTGTTAATAGCATTACAAAAGTTGTTAACCGTTATATTGAAGTTGTAAAAATTTTCAAAAAAAAAAATTCCGACCGACGGAGCTCCGGGGACCAATTGTCGGCTGGTCGCCGGAGTTCCGGTGACCGCCGCCGCCGGAAGTCCGGTGACCGGCCGGCCAGTAGGGGCTGTGATATTTTAAAAATAATATTTAAAATGAAGGGCAATGTGGTCTTTTCCTTTCACATAATAATCCCAATTTGGTCTCATGGTACCAAAATGGGATTTGTGGAATTGGGCGGATGTTTTTGGGCTTTTGAAGTTAAAGGTGCATTTTTCTGTCTTTTTCCCTTTTTTAAAAATGTCCTTATTAATAAATAAATAAATAATATAATAAATAAATTAAAAATATATATGAGGAGTAAAATTGTAATCATTAGATGTTTAGAGAAAAATAAATATTATCTTATTAAAAAATTAAAATGAAGCTCTTATATTTTAAACTGGAAGTGCAAGTGCTACTTGGCGCATTGTAGAATAAGGGGGTGTTTGGCAAAACCAAAACCACGATTTCAGAATCACTTTTTCGCAAAAAGAGGTAACTTCATCCACATATTTACTTCGTAATCCGTAAAAGCACTTCTGAAACCATGGTTTGGTTTTTATCCAAACACCCCTTAAAGATGATGCAATCTCACTTAAATTAACTTTTCTTTTAACTCTGCCATTGACACCTGGACACTTTTTATGGGAATAGTGACACCTCAGTCGTTTCCGCATGCCCCGTGCTCTCCGTCCTCCCTGGAGACTTGTCTCCAATTGTAAATGACTGATGGGAAGGATACGAAAAACAAGAAAAGCTAAAAAAACCCAGGGCATTTATTATTAATAAATTATGGAAAAAAAACCTTTAAGAATGTATTTAGATTGACAGTGGTAAAACTGATTTTTATTTTAACTGATTTTTGTAAATCTAAATTAAATTAGAGTCAGATTGACATTTATAAACATTCAGTTGAAAAAAACTAAAACTTGTATGAATGATTAATAGAAAAGTAAGTTTAGATATAAAATAGCTAAAAAGTATATAAACTTTATTAAATAGTAATATTTTATATTACATGATATTGATATGATAATTGTAAAAAGGAATCATTAAAATTATAATTATAAAATAAAAATAGTGGTTAGTGAAAAATTTTTGAAAATACATTGTAGATAATTAAATATATATAATTAATTTGAGAAGATTAACGAAGTTAAGTAAATTACTTTAAAATATGTATATTTATCTTTTTTTAAATTAATTTGCATGATTTATAAACTAATATGTAATCTCATGATACACATAAGTATTTTAGAAAGATTTATATAATATATGATATAATTAAGTAATTTATTTAGTTTTTTTAATTTCTTCAAATTATTGTATTAATATTTTATGTTAAAAGGCTAGAAAGCACTCTCTCCGGCTAAAAAGTAAAAGTAACCATGCGGACCATATTGACTTGCGGTGTAGAAGGTAGAAGCTACTCTATGGAGCTTTCGAAAATAAGTCAGTTTAGAGGATAAGCTCATTTACCCTATCCAAACATCTCTGATCTTTAAATTTCTTTCTAACTTACGTTTCACATTGTTCAATGTACGTTCACCTTCCAAACGCATACCAAACACGCTCTAGATAGTTCCTCACATCCTAAAATGCTTCTACCTGCCAAAGACGCTAAATAGTTCCTCACATCCTGAAATACCTCTACTTATCACCTCAACCTTCATTTGGGGATGCTCATCAAGTGAAGTATTTACGTTTTATAATGCAAAAAACAATTGCATTTGTGTATTCGGGTTTAGTTTGAACCTGACAAATTTCTTGGAGCTAGCTTGGAAAAACCAATTTTAAGAAAAACACAAGTTTTTAAGGCTTATTTAGGTTGGCTAGCTCGGCCTAAATTACCAACTTTATTTTAACCTCGACATCTTGATATAGAACTTATACTTGGCTCTTGGTCTTTTTCTACTTTATTTCTACCCCCTTTTCTTTTATCTTTGATGAATTTTATCTTTTTTCTTTTTAAATCTTGGGCTTTTTCCCCCCCTAAATATAAGCACAGATGTCTAATCTTTGTACTTCTAATTATTTGTTACATTTTTTTTTCAAACTTTATCTTTTTAAAAGTGCCTAATGAGTTGTGATATATATATATATATATATATATGAATGTGCTCTTGAATCCTAAAAAGGCTTAGAATGATTTTGAAAACCTATGATTAATATCTTCATATAAATTTAATATTGTGAAGTAACATTATACCAAATGTCACCTATAATGATATAAAATTAAGACACAGTAAATTGATCATAACCAGTCCAACAGTGATACGCTTGCGGTTGCGTCATTGATGTTTGAAGGAGTGTATTGATTGTTGGTTCAACGGCCCGTTTGAAATGTAAAACCTCGTTTAGGCCCAACATTATTTTGGGTCAATTATTTAGGCCTATGTGCTGGGGAGTCTAAGCCCTTTTCAAACTTTTCACTAATTCTGTGTGGGTTAATGCTTAGGTTCAAAACAACTGTTGTCTAATTGTATAATTATGGTTCCATCAGACCAAAACCAATGGAAAAATTGGGGCTAATCATTTATAAAATTCATAATCAATTGAAAAAAAATTAACCAACAAAGTTGAATTTCATAGAAAGGGTTAGTTTCCAATAACGTGGTTTACTAATATTTAAATTCCTATTACGAAAGGCAGTATCTCACATGAGATTGTCTGTAGTGAGAAAATATATTCTTAGTGAAAAAAAGAGGAACAAGAAAAAGGAAGGCTTTCATTAAACTGAGCAAAGTGAAGCCCCGTATTCCTGGGGAAGACAAGACGAAAGCAGAGACAAATACTCACATGAATAATACGCAGATTCGTTGTTGGGGGAAAAAAAGAAGAAGAAGAAGAATAATACCCAGATTCATTGAACCCTTCGAAGCTAGAATTAATAACTCGAATTTGAATTTGAGAGCTATTTCGAATTTACTACTGATCATACTGCCTTTTATTAGTTAAAGCCAAGCAATTGCATGCGTGGGCGTGGCTTATGTATGCGTCCCTTTTCCGTCATTTTCTTCGGGGAGTCGTTATTATAACTGTGACCCCTGTTTAGCGAAGCTTTAAATTTCTTATCGTTTTGTCCAGGAAGTAAGAATGGAGGTTCTCGCTGCTATTGTTGGAAAAATAGCAGAGTTAACTGTTATGCCCATTGGAAGGCAAGTGGAATATTTATTATTTTACAAAGGGAACTTTAAGGAGCTAGAGAAGAAAATTGAGGAGTTGAAAGAAAGAAAAGTTCGCGTCGAGCATGATGTTGAAGCAGAAAGAAGGAACGGAAGAGAGATTGAAGATGAAGTACAAAGTTGGCAAAACAGAGTTGACGATACCTTGGAAGAAGTACAGAAACTTCGTGAAGATCAACCTCGTGCTAGTGTACGGTGCTGGAAATGGTCTTTTCCTAATTTGATGTCACGACATCATCTTGGTAGAAAAGCGAAGAAAATGACATTCACCATTTCTGAACTGAAGGACGAGGGGAAGTTTGATGGTGGAGTTGGGTATGTTCCCGGTTCTAGCATGGGAAACTTAATTTTTGCAACTCGAGGTAGTGAAAAGCTTGACTCAAGAAACTCAGTGAAGGAGGAGGTTATGTTGTCTCTAGCTGACCCCAAAATAAGCAAAGTTGGCATTTATGGGTGGGGTGGAGTGGGGAAGACCACTCCAGCTAAAGAAGTTGCCAAGCATGTTAAGGATAGAAAGCTGTTTGATATGGTGGCCATTGCAACTATATCCCAAGCGTTGGATGTTGATAGAGTTCAAGATGAGATTGCATATCAATTGGGCTTCCACTTGGATGAGAAGACTTCAATTGGAAGAGCTGACCGCCTTTTTGCAAGGATAAAAATGGAGAAAAATGTCCTTGTCATACTAGATGACTTGTGGGAGAAAATAGATTTGGACAAGTTGGGAATTCCATCTGAGCAAGATCTTAAAGATGGAAAATTATCATTCACTTCTAAACGTTTAGATATTTCACAGAAGAATGAAACTTATCAGGGTTGCAAATTATTGTTGACTTCTAGACGGTTAGATATTTTACAGAAGAATGAGACTCAAAGTAACTTTCTTATAAAAGCATTAGATAATGCAGAATCATGGAGTTTGTTTGAAGAGATGGTTGGTGATGCAATTAAAGATGCTGATTTGCAAAACATAGCAACCCAAGTGGTTGAAAGATGTGCAGGTTTGCCTGTTATGATAGTCTCAACTGCAAAGGCACTAAAATTTAATAAAAATATTCATTATTGGACAGATGCCTTGAACAACTTAAAGAGAGTTGATAATGGGGACATGTATGGGACTGTTTTTTCAGGCTTTGAATTTACTTACAATCGCCTGGAAGATGATGAAATGAAGAAAGTATTCTTGCTGTGTGCTACCTGTGGACCGTCCACGTGGGTTAGTTACTTGTTAAAATTATTATTTGGTTTGGGGGCTCTGAAACACATAGATACCATTAGAGATGCAAGAAATCGACTGTACCGAATAATTGATGACTTGAAGGCATCTTGTTTGTTGCTTGAGAATGATGCAAACAACACCGATGAGATCGAAATGCATGACATTGTTTGTGAAATAGCTGTTTCAATTGCTCGTAAGAGTGAACATGTTTTCGCATTGAGAAATGATAGGATGCAAGATTGGCCAAGCAAGAGATTTCTTGAAAGGTGTACTCAGATAATCTTAAGCGATTGTTTTATCCAAGAGCTTCCTCAAAAGTTAGACTGTCCTAATTTGAAATTTTTCTTCTTAAGTTTCAATGAGAGTTGCACTTTGAAAATTCCAGACTCTTTTTTTGAGGGAATGGAAAGCCTTGAAGCATTAGATTTGACAGGCTTGATAATACCTACACTGCCTATATCTCTTCTTTTCTTGACCAAGCTTAAAACATTGTGTTTGGATCAATGCACTTTGAAAAATATGGCCGGAATAGGTGACTTGACAAATTTAGAAATTCTTAGTTTTTGGGGTTCATACATAGTGGAGTTCCCGAGTGAAATAGGACAACTGACTCGTATAAAAATGTTGGATATGACAAAGTCTAGAATTAAGATCATCCCATCCAACACTTTGTCCAAGTTGACTAAAATAGAGGAACTTTATATGGGCAATGCCTCAATTAAGTGGGAGGAGGAAAGTTCAACTACGCAAAACAAAAGTGCTAGTCTTGCTGAGCTTGGGCGTTTAACAAGCCTGACTACTTTAGAAATTCAAATTCCTGAGGCTTGGATGCTGCTGAGGGACATGATGTTTGAAAAGTTAGAGAGATACAAGATTGTCATTGGGGATAAATGGGAATGGTCAAGGAACAAAAGAGCCTTAAGGTTGCTAAAGCTAAAGCTTGATACTAGCATTCATTCGGAGCATGGGATTAAAGCATTGATTAAACAAGTGGAAGATTTGTACTTAGATGAAGTCAATGGAATTTTAGACGTGCTTTTTGATTTGAATGGAGAAGGATTTCCTCTACTAAAGTATCTCCATATCCAAAATAATGGCCAGCTTCAGCATATCATCAACACAACAGAGTGGAATGAAACTCATGTTTTGTTTCCAAAATTGGAGACACTAATACTTCACAATCTCAATAACTTAGCGAAGATATGTCATGGTCCACTTCCTGTTAATTCCTTTGGCAAACTCACAATCATTAAAGTCAAAAGTTGTGACCAACTGGTATATCTCTTTTCTGTTTTGATGGAGAAAGCTCTTTCTCAACTTGTTGAGCTCCAAGTTTTGGAATGCAGTTCAATGAAGAGGATTGTGTTAATTGAAAATGATGATAGCGGAATAAGTAGTGATGAGAAGATTGAGTTTCATTCACTGCGCTCCTTGAGTCTTTGTCATTTGCCAGTCATCCATGATTTTTGCTCAAATGAATCGACATCTTTTATGACAGCCACATTATTATTTAATGGCACTAAGGTATGTTTCTTTTTCATTCGATTTATAATTTTGTTATTTACAATTTAGATCAAATGACTGAATCACAAGTAACTATCACAATGATCATGTATGGTATTTTTTAATATATATATTTATCTAGAAGTAGAATGTCAAATTATTAATGTAATGAGGTACTCCCTCTGGATAAATTATATTTTTAGAGAAAATCATAATTTTGTCCTAACAAATTTGTTAGATAAATTATAGACAAGTCCTAAGAATCTCTAGTATCAATTTTTAACACATGCAAAATATCTAAAATGCTATTCTAAACCTTCGACCTTTGAGCACTATTGATGGGTGACGAGCTGGTAAGAACTAGAACCAGCAGGGCATTAAAAAATTATCATTAATATTTTATTAATAATTAATTTAAATATGATGATTATTTTAATAATATTTTCTTGTAACAATTTACAAGCCCATATGCACTATTTACAAGTCATGCATTATTTACAACTTATGTCTTTTCTCACACGTTCTTCAAATTTTATAAATCCATTTAAAATTTGGTCTCTTCTTTTTTTTGCAAGCTATATCCGTAAATTTTACAATTCTTGGGTTGTTATTTTTAACTCATAAATTGCTTCCCAATTCATTTCATATTACAATTGATCAGTTCTCCTTTGAACTGCAATTGAAATTTTTGTAATTACAAAACTCAACAACTAACTTTTCTCCGAGATCATCTAAACCTGTACATTTTTTATATATAGATATACAGTTTTTGTTTTTATTTTTAAAGAAAACTTCTTATTATGTTGGGTTATTTAATTTAGATTTATAATACTATATTCGTGTCACAGTAATCTAATAATACTCAAGCGTTGTCTTGGCTGGCATGATCTTCAAGCTTGTTTAACAAATGCATTTTCCTACTTGTCTAAATTGTCTAAATGATAGTTTTGTACAAACACATTTACTTTTTAGAAGATGTTTACATAATAAATTTTTACAAATCCATTGTAATATACCACTTGTTAAAATTAATTCTTATGGGGTGAAAATTTTTTCAATTCGAAAAAAAAAAATCAATTTGCAACATTTGAAAAACCTATAAAAATACAAATTTTAAAGTTTAACTTATAAATTTTAGAAATTTTTTTTGTAAATAATGAAAACTTTAAAAATCTTACAAGCAATTTATGAGGTGAAAATAGAAAAGAGTTTAAAAAGAAAAGAGTAATAAAATGTGAAGAAATAATTTGTAGAATAGGTGAGAAAAAGCTTTCGATGGATTCGTAAAATTTGAATATGAAAATAAAAATTAGTTTGGTGGTGAATTGATGCGAAGTTCTATTTGCAAATAGCAGACATAGACTTGTAAATTGTTATCGGGAAATATTATTATAATAATAGTATTATAATAAAATATTATTGAAATATTAATTATTTGCCATCCTGTCCACGGCCAAAGGCCTATAAGTCATAAAAATTGCACCCAAATTCTTTGACACTTATATATAATTTATTAAATTCATGAGACCAAATTATCAATGGCTCTCTCAGTGTCGATCAAGTTGTCATCTTTCCCTCTCTTTTTTTTTTTTTTTCAATTTACCAAGTTGAAAGTAACATATTTTTTCAATCACAGGTTAGTTTCTCTAGCTTGGAGACCCTGAAGTTGAGTTCAATCAATCTGGAAAAAATTTGGGATGATCATCACCTTTCTGCAGCCAATTGTATTCAGAATTTGACTAACTTGATTGTTGAGGATTGCAGAGGCCTCAAGCATTTATGCTCATCTTTTGTGGTTGGAAGTCTTTCAAAACTCAAACACCTTGAAATAAGTAAATGTGATATGATGGAGGAAATCATTGCTCCAGATAGCCTTGCAACACAAGAGGTATTAAGATTAGATTTGAAATAAATGTTTACACCACAACATCAAACGTTTGCGCTTGTGTGCTTCTATTCAATATCTCTCATATTAAATGTTGGTTCTTTTGGATTTGTAAACTGTGCTTTGTATCATAGGTCCGGTTCACAAAGTTGGAGACCATGGTAGTTAAAGACATGGAAAGCTTGAAGAAAATATGGCACTTTCAATTTGATAAGTTGAAGAGTCTGGAGGTAAGCAATTGTGGGAAACTTGTGAATATTTTCCCATCTGATATGCAGGGAACGTTTGGAAGCCTTGAGACTTTGACGGTCAGCAGTTGCGGTTCAGTGGAAGAGATATTCGAATCAACCGCCAAAGGAATCCATAATGAAGACGAAACAGCTACACAACAAGTCTCACAATTGAAGAAACTCCATCTATTTGGCTTGCCAAAGCTGAAACAGATTTGGAGTAGAGATGCTGAAGCAAACCTTCGTTTCCTTAATTTGCAACTTGTGCGTGTTGAATACTGTGGGAACTTGGAATACCTTTTTCCGTTCTCCATCTCAATGCAAGCTACTCAACTTGAACGTATTACCATAAAATATTCAGGGAGGATGAAACATATTGTTTCAAGCAACGAAGTGATCCCCATGGACAGTCCAGTCAAATTTGAGTTTAATCACTTGACCTCTTTGGTGTTTTGGAGTTTATCGGAACTTGAGGGACTTTATGCTGGAAAACATAGTTTACTATGTCCATTATTAAGGGCACTAGATGTCCGCACATGTTTGAAATTGAAGCTCTTCATGACACAAAGTACAAGAGCCCGAGATAGAGTTTATGATAATAAACAGCAAATCTCAATGCAGCAGCCTCTTTTTGCACTTGAAGAGGTATAGAAGGGAAAAATCTTAAGTTATTTAGATACCATAAATATCTCGATGCATGCATTTTTTTCATAATATTTTTCTATATTAAAAAAATTAAACAGGTTTGATTATGCAGTCTATTCATCACTTGTTTCCTACCTCACTCTTATACCTGTTTATGTTGCCATATACAAAATATTTGACACATGCTTTTCACCCGTGTTACATATAGGTGATTTGCAACTTGGAGAAGTTGACCTTAAATAGTGAGGATGCAAGCATAATATTACAAGGACAACTTGCAAGAAAACACTTCAGCAAACTCAAAATTCTTTATCTGGCAAATTTTGAAGATGAGCGTGCTACTTTTCCCTATTGGTTTCTCCAAAACATAACCACTCTCAATGAGCTACTTGTTGAATGTAGTTCTTTTGGGGAGATATTCCAAGAAGAAATACCTATACAGGACAAAGGAAAATTTAAGATCGGAACACGAATTAAATCATTGACACTCAATCAATTATATCATCTCCAGCATATCGGTAAAGAAAGAGCTCAAATAGACCCAGTTCTTGAAGAGCTTGAATACTTAGACGTGGATCAATGTTCCAATTTGAAACACCTAGTGCCTTCCTCTGTAACTTTTAGACACTTGACATATTTTGGGGTGGAAAATTGCAACGGATTGATTCACTTAATGACCTCATCAACTGCAAGAAGTCTGGTCAAATTAACAACAATGAAAATAAGGAACTGCGATTCACTTGACCAAGTTGTGGTGGCAGAAGAGAGGGAGGGGTCTGAAGATGAAATTGCATTTAGCAGCTTACAAATTTTGGAGCTTGAGTGTCTGCCAATGATCAAGAGGTTCTGCTCTAGTAACTGTGTGTTGAACCTTCCATCACTAGTGAATGTTGTTGTTAAGCAGTGCCCAAGAATGAACATCTTCTCTAAGAAAAGCACAAGTACCCCAATGCTTCGACAAATATAATCAAAGGAAGAAGATGAAAAGATGTATTGGGAAGGTGACCTAAACAGAACAATAAACAAGATGTTCGTGGATATGGTATGTTTGATTTGACCCAAAAATTTCTGATAAACATAAGTGGAAAAAGATCATTCTCTACATAATTACAAACTTTTTCTAACTTATAATGACAAAATTTTATGGACAAACCATTGGAAAAGCCAAATGTTTATGTTTAGTTTGCTCTATTAAAGCCCTTTATTTCTTTTTACTAACCCTGCACCTGAAATTTTGCAGGTGGCATTCAATAGTTATAAGCATTTAGAGCTATCTCAGTATCCTGAGTTAAGAGAATTGTGGTACAGCCATGTTCAACCTGGAGTGTTTGGTAATTTGAGAAATTTACGAGTACATAAATGTGACTTTTTATCCGATGTGCTACTGCCTCTAAATTCGGTGCAAGCGCTATCCAACTTAGAGGAGCTTCAAGTAAGTGAATGTGATTCATTGGAAGCTGTGTTTGATTTAACCAACATGGATCGAAAGGAGGCCCTTGTTAAGGAGACCATTCAACTGAAGAGAATAACTCTCTCTGGTCTGCCTAAGCTCAAACACATATGGAAACAAAACTTTGAAGAAATTGTCAGCTTTAGAGAAACAATAGAAAGTCACGCCCGACATCACCATCCAGAATGTTCCGTTCAACAGGTATAGATGATATGAGACGGTTGCTTAACTGGTTTGAATTACATATGCTTTGAATGAATGCAGCATATGTTTAATATTTATTTTTATCATATTTAATCAAAAAATAGGCAGATTCAGAAGATCCAAGAAAAATATGATAATATAGCGTGAGTCACAAGGATTTTGTGTGTGTAGTGATATATATAAAATAATTATACGTTGGCTGAAATCATTGCCTCATTTTGCAGCCTTGGTGACTTTTGAGTTCTGCCTAGCCTTATTACTCCTAAATGCAGTATATATGCTTTTTGCTTTTTTGTCATTTAGTACTTATAAATATTTTGTTTTAATTGATGTGAGGTATTTGGGGAAAAAACAAAAAAAATATATTGTTCAAAATTTTTTTAAGACGCCTATATTAAATAAAAAATTTATGTATCTTTTAAGACTTTAGACAATTGAAACCTTTTTTATTGCCAGAATAAAAGAGATTTATAAACCATAATAATCTTGCTGCCCGTTGTTGTAAAAGTTTTGTGATCTAAGGATATAATTTCTTCATTAATCATTCGCATGTCAAGTCAGTATTACTACTGTTTTATCATTATTAGTCATATTTTATGACATTTCTTGTCCGTATCTGACTTGCCTTATTCGAATAGTGCCCATCATTATGAAACATATCTGTAAATACATGGCAGGTACGTTTCCCCAACTTGGAAACAATGATAATAGAAGGCATGCCAGAGCTGAACACGATATGGCACCCCTGCTTCGCCTCAAACTGCTTTGACGGTCTTAAGACGATGGAAGTCTCAGAGTGTGACAAACTTGAGAGCATATTTCCATCATATATGCAGAGAGCATTTGCAAGTCTGGAGGCATTGATGGTTAGTGATTGTAAGTCAGTACAAGTCATATTTGATTTTGAATTCAGCTCCCAAATGGGCAGTGCAGAGGAGACGGCACGACTACAGAAACTAACTCTGCTTCGGCTACCAAAGCTGAAGCAGATTTGGAGCAGGAATGCTGAAGCAAACCTTCGTTTCCTTAATTTGCAACTTGTAGATGTTGATGACTGTGACAACTTGGAATACCTTTTTCCACTCTCCATTGCAACGCAAGCTACTCGACTTGAACGTATTACCATAAAGAATGCAGGGAGGATGAAAGTAATTGTTTCAGGCAAAGAAGGCCTCATGGACAGTCCTATTAAATTTGAGTTTAATCACTTGACCTCATTGGTGCTTTGGAATTTATATGAACTGGAGGGATTTTTTGCTGGAAGTCATAGTGTACGATGTCCAGTATTAAGCGAATTAGATGTCCGCCTTTGTGCAAAATTGAAGCTCTTCAAGACTCAAAGTACAAGTGGCCAAGAAAGAGCTTCTGACGCTAAACTCCAAATCTCAACGCAGCAGCCTCTTTTCACACTTGAAAAGGTACATGAATGATTATAAAAAAAAAAAATCTTGATTTATTTAGACACCCTAAATATCTCAATGCATTCATTGTTTCATAATAATTTTCTATATTCAAGAAAATGAATCTGGTTTCATTATGCGTGCTATTCATGACTTGCTTCCCGCCTCATATATCGTATCTTCTTATGTTGCCGTGTACAAAATAGTTGATCAACGCTTTCTATCTATGCTGTGCATAGGTGATTTACAACTTGGAGAGCTTGGCGCTAAATAGTGAGGATGCAGGCATGATATTACAAGGGCAATTTTCAGGGGAACACTTCAGCAAACTCAAATTTCTTTGTTTGGCAAATTTTTACGATGGCCATGTTATTTTTCCGTATTGGTTTCTCCAAAACGTCACCGCTCTTGACTGGCTAGTTGTTGAATGGAGTTCTTTCAAGGAGATATTCCAAGAAGAAATGCCTAAAGATCACGGAGGAAAATTTAAAACTGGAACACGACTTAAAAGTTTGACACTCTCTAATTTACATGAACTCCAGCATATATGTAAAGAAGGATTTCAAATAGACCCAGTTCTTGAGGATCTTGAATGCTTATGGATCGATTGTTGTTCCGATTTGAAACACTTAGTGCCTTCCTCCGTAACTTTTAGTCAGTTGACATATCTGGAAGTAAAAAATTGCAATGGATTGATTCACTTGATTACCTCATCAACCGCAAGAAGTCTGGTCAAATTATCAACATTGAAAATAAAGAACTGCAATTCACTTGAGCAAATTGTGGTGGCAGAAGAGGCGGAGGGGTCTGAAGATGAAATTGCATTTGGCAGCTTACAAATTTTGGAGCTTGAGTGTCTGCCGATGATCAAAAGGTTTTGCTTCTCCAATTACTTCTTAAAATTTCCGTTGTTAAAAGAAGTGGTCATTGAGCAATGCCCAAGAATGAACACCTTCTCAGCTGGGAGAGACACAAGCACACCAAAGCTTCGAAATATATCATCAAAAGAAGAAGATGGAAACGTGTATTGGGAAGGTGATCTGAATAAGACAATAAACAAGATGTTTACGGACAAGGTATGTTTTGATTTCACTGGAAAATCATTCTTTATTCCCCTGATATACGATGAGAAAATGGTATGAACAAATTGTCAGAAAAGCCAATTGTTTATGTAAAACGAAAAATGATTGTGAAAATATCTTTAATTTTTATTGTAAATATTTATTTTCATGATTGTATAGCTTTTATTAGCCTTTATTATTCACTTCTCCTTTTGCTCGGCGCATCCGTTTGGATATATCTTCACTTTTATATGAATTGAAAAATACAAATTTCTCATGTAATCCAGAATCACATATTGGTGCCATTGCCATAAAAGCTTTAACGAAATGAAGATGAGGCTGTGTTTAGGTTTGAGTTAGATATTTTTATCCTTTTTATTTCTGCTAACATGATAGTTAGTTAATACTTTGAATGAATAGTATTGATTTTATTAGCTGAGAGTAACAAAATGTCATTGTTTAATTTGTTTCGCTCCCCTTCTTGTCTTTTCCCTTACCTTTGTAATTATTTGCACAGGTGGCATTTAGTAGCTTCAGTCTTTTGGAATTTTCTGTATATCCAGAACTGAAAGAACTATGGTATGGCCAAGATGGGCCAAATATATTCCGCAATTTGAAGCATCTAGTGGTGCGAAAATGTACATTCTTGTCCAACGTGATTTTTTCATCAAATTTACTGCGATTGATATATGCATTAGAGGAACTGGAAGTATCAGAGTGTGATTCATTAGAAGTGGTATTTGATGTAAATGCATTGGATGAGAATGCAAAAGAATCAAAGGAAGTTAGTCGGTTGAAGAAATTAACACTCTCTGGGCTTCCAAATTTGAAATGCATATGGAACAGAGAAGCAGGCGAAATAATCAGCTTTGAAAATTTACAAATTGTGAAAGTTGATAAATGCCAACACCTGAAATGTTTCTTTTCAGTCTCACTATGCCAAGATTTGGGGCGACTTGAAGAGCTTCACATTGAGTCTTGTGGTGTTGAGGAAATTGTTTCAATTGAAGAAGGATTCGAGGAACTCAAGTTTGATTTTCCTCGGTTAACAAACTTGTGGCTCCGGAATCTAACACAGCTCACTAGTTTCTATCCTAAAAGATATACTCTGGAGTGTCCTTCGTTGAAGGAGTTAAATGTTCGTGGATGTGAACAATTGCAAATATTTGCATTTGACCATTTGAATTCCCAACCGCTTACGGAGGGTGACAATGCGGGGCAAATTGAACAAGCCTTGTTTTATATTGAAAAGGTATGCATCCTTTTTTCTCTAGACAAAAAGATGCATGGTTGAGGAAAACTATAATTATGTATGTGGTTTGTAAAAATATAAAAAAAATGTTTTATGTTATCTTATTAGTAGATTATATGATGAAAGAAACAAATTATATTTTCTCTTTTTCAGGTGTCTCAAAATTTGGAGGAGCTGCCATTAAATGAAGAGGACACTATGAGGATATTGAATGGCAACTATGAGAAAAATCTCTTTCAGAGCATCAAAACGCTTCGTTTGCAATATTTTCGGGGAACTCCAATAAAGTTTCTGAATGATTTGATTGAATTATTTCCATCCATAACCACACTACAAGTGCGTTGCAGTTCTTTTGAAACACTTTTTCATTCAGAAGGAATGAGTCATCTTTGTATTGGAAGGCCTACCCAAATTAAAAAGTTGTGGCTATTTCAATTGAAGAAGCTTGAGCATATATGGAATGATGACGACTCAACATCACATCCCCTGGTTCAAAACCTTGAAGATGTGTATATAGGGCAATGTTCCAAGTTAAGAAGATTGGCACCACCTTCGACATCTTTTGCGAGTTTAACCACCTTGAAAGTAGAGGATTGCAAT